CAAGTCATTATCTTCACCTAAAAAAGAAAACATTTCGAGATTCTTTCAAAAATTATTTAACGATGAACTTTATGAGATTTATAGACAGCTCTGTGATCATCTGTCATTCTCACTTTCTCAACCGTTCCTTTTTTCGTTATCATTTTTTAACGATGAATTTTCTCGGAGACAGCGATAAAAAATTTGTCATTCTAATCAAAATTGATTCTTTGGAACGAGATTTTCTAAGTATTTGCTCTACATCTCAGGTAGAACAATCCGTTCTGGATCCGATGGGGACCTACCATAAACGGCAGCCGGATACGATCCCAGAATTTTTCTTCCGGATTCTGAGCATTTTCCGGGCGTTGCCAACCGGAAAATAATAGCTTTCCTGCGGGTTTTCGTTAGATATTACTGGAATGCTGTTCCGGAATCACCGTCCTGGGATTGGATGATTTCTGTATAGCATATCATCTATCAACCATAATTCAAAATCAACACTAATAATGCATTAAAAATTCTTTGCAATCTCCAGTGTATACCATCATAGAATTAGACATTGCATTGTGAGTCTTCATTATTGTACGAAAGACCCATCGCCTTATATCACACTTTCCTTATGTTCCATAGTCAATAAGAAGAAATGCTTCATTCGGATCCAAATATTAAGGTACAAGAAAACTATGAATTTAACTATCATTTGAAACAGAGGTTGGACCAGTACAAGTACATCAAGTACCAGTACATTCACTTTTTACTCGGCGTGTATACTTGAGTGCATTTTACTCAGTACTTGTACTAAAGTACGAATATACTCAGTATTTTCGTACTCGTATCAATGTAGCCATTGGTAAATATTTAATTATTAAATGCAATCTGCCGTTGAATCTGGTGGAAAATCAGGGCTTTTGTGATTTTATGAAAGAGTGTAATTTAAAATGGGATCCCATATCAACAAAACGATTAAAACAAAATGTTATTCATACATTCTCGTCCAAGGTTGATGCAATCATTCATCAAACATTGAATGGTGTTGATCATGTAACATTAACCGTGAATGGTTGGTCCGACAGAAGGTGTCGATCATTTTTGGGGGTGACATGTCATTTTATTGTCAACAAAATGCAGCCACGATCACATTTAATCGATTTTGTTCGATTGAAATCACCACACACGGGGGAAAACATTCAGCAATTGACTGAACGTATTCTCGATCGATTTAATAAAAAAGAAAAAGTTTATCGTATTGTCACAGACAACGCATCGTCAATGATAAAAGCATATCAATTTGGTTTGTCCGTTGAAGACGATGCTGATGATTCGGACATTAGTCTTCTTGATGATGATTCAGATGAACTATCAATTACCCACGAGAAAATTTTTTTAGTAAAACCGCTGATATTAGCGGTTTTTTAATGACACCGCGGTTTTTATGCNTGGACTTCCATGGACCGATAACACCAACATCACGACATGGAAATCGATACATTATATCGCTAACTGATGTCCTGTCGAAATTCGTCATCGCAAAAGCAGTCAAGGATTGTTCAGCGACAACGACGGTCAATTTTATTACAAATGATGTTATCCTGAAGTATGGAACGCCAACATGCATATTAACCGACAACGGTACTCACTTCACCGCTCAAATGACGAACGATTTATTCCAAAAGCTTGGAGTTACCCACCTATACACAACAGCCTACCATCCACAGACAAATGGACAAATCGAAAGATTCAATGCGACCATGGATGGCAAGATAGCAAGCCTGTGCAATGAAAGACGCACGGGCTGGGACGAAGTATTACAATTCGTCACGTTCAATTATAACACGTCGGTCATGCAACGACAAAACTCACACCATTCGAAATGATGCATGGACGACAAGCAACACTTCCATTTGACCAACAACAAGCACTTATTTCGCTCACACAAGACGTGGAACAAGGGAAGAAACTCCAAAATTATCTTGAAAAATTAACGAATGAAGCAAGGAAGGATATTCAACGAGCGCAACAACGATACAAAACACGATATGATCAACATTGGCAAGAATTATCATTGAAAATCAACGATTTAGTTCTGATCAAAACAAGAAATATGCGGAGAAAATTCGATATTCGATATGAAGGTCCATTCAGAATTACGGAACAGTTAGGAAGAAAAACATTCATGGTACAACACGTGAAGAAGACAATCTTAATGAAACAAGTTACAATGGATATCATCGTTCCATTAGTCGAACGATGGAACTTAAATAACTAAACACATCCCACTCGGGAAAGGTGTGAATCGACCATGACACTAATTGATTTCATTAAAATGTTCACTTGTACTTATACTAATAAGACGTATGAATTTGATTTAGCAGATCATGTCGGGGAGATAGGTTTCCCCTTCTCACTGATAAGATGGGGCTATCAATGATATACATTATGTATTTATATATAGGTGCGAGCGACATCTCTTTTTTTCTATTCATATGGACATTCAATCGATATATCATCACGATCACGGGCGGACGACATGATACGACGAATGATTCATATGGACGAAATCAATTACCTTACAAGAACACGACACGGTCGAAATCACCGCATTACATCACAGAACAGGAAAGAAAAAGATGTGAAGAAGATCATATAGTCATGCCACTTTCATCTGTACGCGTATGAAGAACGCGAACATATATATATACATATATATACGCGACAGGAAAGGAAAGAAAAACAGAAATGGAAAATCCAGGCCAACTCAATAAAAAACTTAACCCTTGACCGAGTACTAGTCTATTTTAGAAAAAGTTCATCACGTCTAGACAAAGGCATCGTTTCGCAAATTCAACAACAGCAACCACTTCGAATCTATACCCAAACAACCAGCCAATTCAATGAAGAATCAACGAAAAACAGAAATCAATGAGGATCGACGACAATCATATCCTCGTTATCACCCATCATCAAATCTCGAAATTATTCATGTACATTATCGATCAAATGTGCAAACAATTGAAGAATTAATAAAAAAAGCAAGAGCAACAAAGAGATTCGTCGTTGATACCGAATCTCAATATAAAAAATTTCGAAAAGGTGAACCACGAACAAATGGAGCAGTGGTACAGATCCAAATGATCCAATCAACAATCAATTCAGTGGTCGTACTTATTGAAACATGTTATTTACCTGATCCACAATCAACATTATACAAGAAAATCCACGAATTATGCAACACCATCTTCGACAACAACAACGAAATAATAACATGGGGACCAATCGAGCAAGAATTTGCCACTTTTAAACATTTTAATCTTTTCCATTTAGGTAACGTTCGTGAATGTGACTTACAATTTTACTTTAGTAATCCAAGTCAACTTTACGACACGCATCCAGCAATGGAAAGACGTGGGATGACCGGTGAATCGATGAAAATCGATACACCTGGTGATGAACTTATTGTTGACGTCGACGATGATGACATTTGGAACCTCAACTACGATGATGCTCAACAAAAACCAAAACTGAATCCACCTTTAGGTTTACAGACAGCGGTAGCAGAAACGTTCAACAAATTCTTGGACAAATCGTACACAAAAAACGATTGGAATTGTGGACTTGATCGTGATCTTGGTACATGGCGAAGGAAACGGTTCAGCAGATATGAATACAACGAATGCGAAGAAAAACAACAACGGGAAGATATGAAACGATATGCAATTTACGATTGTGCAGTTGTAGCTGAACTTTACTTCGAAAAATATCCGGAAACAGCAAACGATTATGCAACAACACTGGAAACTCCGGCAACACCAGAAATTCCAATCACAACCACAACAAATACATTAACTCGACAGCCTGATGAAGTTCTGATATCAATTGAACCAGAAACAAGTGTCGAAATCGATAGTGGAATATCGACAAAACGAGAAATAATGTTACATCGGCCCGAATTATTGAACAAGATGAATGAAAATGAACTTTTGGATTTCTTACGGCCGACATTGAATCACCAACCGCAACAACCTCAACGAACACCGGAAGAAGAACTCCAGAAGAAGAAAGAAAGACCGAAAAAGAAGAATGAAAAATTCAAAGAAAAGAAAAGAAATCGTCCCGATTTCATAAATCGTTTGACAAGGCCCATTTATCACAAATACACATATCAAAAAATTAGGGCACAAATGATGGACGATGGAATTTATCATTCACATCAAATCAACATCAATCAAGAAAAGAAAGAGGTGACAATCAACTTCAAATCGCCAGCATTACTTGAAGAAGCGAGAATGAAAATGCGTGTAAATTATTTCTCGGAAAAACAATATTACAAAAGATGGTGAAAAGTAAAAAAAAAAGAGAAAAAATTAATTTAAAATAAAAAAAAATTTTCTTTTCCTTTCATCAATTCAACGGAAACAAACAACGGACCAATACAACAAAAACAACAGCGACAACAGCTCATCGAACTCCATTGACCTCCTCACCGACATTATCAGCTTCACCAGATCCACATCCACATTCGATAACGAACGGACAAATCGGAACGATGAACACGAACGTAAAGCTGTTCAACACACGAAGTTTTCTGTTTGTTTTTTTCTCTTTATGTCACATCGTTCGTTTTCTCTCTCGTTTTTTTTGTAACTTTCAGATTCGTGTCTTTCGGGTTGTGTGCGGACACACGTTATTTTAGGAGAGGGACGCATGTTGGCGTCCAGTCACCTTAATCTTTGTTCTCTCTCTCTCTCTCTCTCTCTCTCATGTTATCTCTCTATATAACCTGTGTGTGTGATTCAAAGGGGAGAATAAAAGTCAGTCTCACGAGGAGAGCCGCACTAACAAAAGTTGAATACATTTTACGTTCAATGCTTCTCATTTAATGGCTTTTCCTAGCATTCCGTACATGTAAGATTAATTATGATTTTGCAGAGAATTTCGCTAGGAATCTTTTATCGGTGTGAAGCTAGCACCATCGAGCTAGCACCATCAAACTAAGGATTTTCTGAAAACGAATTCCGGTCGATAAAACCGAGTGTATTCGATGCAGAATTTAATTCTGAGTCCAATGGTGACATTTTTATTCACCGGAAAACGTTCGGAGAAAAATTTTCTTTGATCTTTCTTTATCCTCGATACATGTATATGCATCATTTTTCGGCCGTCGGTACTGTGAGTCTCTTGTATCAGGGGATGTGACGAAACCTCCGGCTACCGACTATATCGTAAGCTGAATCCACTAATCGAATGAATGGTCTGATGTATGATCAAGACTCACGTCGTGGAACCTACCTGAGGTGACTGGAAGTGATGAGAGATGGAGAGAATGGATGTGGATGAGATGATAAGTGTGTTTTATTGGATGAAATCAAATAAAATACTAAAGAAAACGATAACAAAAAGACTGATCGAAAAGAGAAAAACAACCACATATATACAGATCGAAGATGATCTGAGAAAAAAAAGAGAAAAAGAAGAAAACAAAGAAGAAATGCAATCACAGAGATCATCATGAGAACGGACATGATAATCAAACGAAAACTAAAACGACAGGAAAGAAAGAGAAAAAGAAATACATATATATGTATATGTATAGAAATACAAGAAAACAACTATGTAGAAGGTAGCGTCATGAAGTAATATCCAATGACGCTAACAGGCACGCAATATCTCTGCCCAGAACGAATTCCGGTTCATGGAAAAGAGTCTATTCGACGCAGAATTTGATTCTGCATCGACTGGTGCCACTTTTATTCACCGGAAAACGTTCGGTATGGAGCTTACCTTAACTCTTATTTTTTCGCATATATATATATACAAATATTTTTTTTAATTCGAAAACCTTTTTTCCGAACGTTTTCCGGTGAATAAAAGTGGCACCAGTCGATGCAGAATCAAATTCTGCGTCGAATAGACTCTTTTCCATGAACCGGAATTCGTTCTGGGCAGAGATATTGCGTGCCGACGGCCGAAAAATGATGCATATACATGTATCGAGGATAAAGAAAGATCAAAGAAAATTTTTCTCCGAACGTTTTCCGGTGAATAAAAATGTCACCATTGGACTCAGAATTAAATTCTGCATCGAATACACTCGGTTTTATCGACCGGAATTCGTTTTCAGAAAATCCTTAGTTTGATGGTGCTAGCTCGATGGTGCTAGCTTCACACCGATGAATCCTCCTCTTTTGGTATAAATTGTTTTTATATACTGAAAATGAAAGAGTTGCATGAAAAATACTGAGAGTGCCATTTATTTCGACTAACCCGTTATTTTTTTCAAATACGTAACAATTTATGAAGTCCGTTTTTCTAATACTCATATTAAGTGAAATCCTTTTCCCGGTAACATTTCTTCTTTATAGAAACTTTTTCCTCTTCAAATATACCCCAGTTTTTGATTAAATTTGAACATATGTCTTTTCGTTAGGTGTGATATTCAAACTATTGAATATATCTTCTATAATTGAGAGTCAGATCAGTTGCATCCTATCGTATATTTCTGTATTACTCAAATGCATTACAAAACGGTGAAAAAACATGGAACATTGAAGTGCTTTTGGAAATATTCTGTCATAAACACGTCGAAACAATTTCCATAGAATTAATCAGATTATATCATACGAACACTCAAAAGCTCATCATGTATAAATTTCCTATATTGAGTTTCTCGAGATGTTGATTGGCCCTCCAAACTCTAGACAGTCTTCAGATTGCAGAAGTTTCTATGATGTATAATGCAATATTTCCAACGTGCCATTACAACGTTATCTGAACACTGTTAATACTAATCTTTCTTCATAAATTTATCAGATCAAAAGGCATAAAATAGCATTGGAAAGAACTATCTCTCAACATGCATTATTCTATACCATAATAATTCACGCCATTTGAATGTATTGCACTGCGTATTTAGCATTGTGATAAATTACTAATAGCATATCACATAAGAAATTCCAAATTTGTCTTCTCATATATTACACTTCTATAATATCGCAACTTCCGTACGTCATTGAACCGAAGTAGAATTTTTCTTTTGCACACATCTACGAAATTTTTGTTTGAAAAACACTAATTCTAAAAGTTTATCGGCCACATCATGAGTAAACAGAACGTAAGCAGTTAGTGGCAAATACAATCAGGAATATTTTTTGTGTTTTTACACACGTGTTTTTATTTCATCAGTACCTCACAAAGAGCACAAACTTCGATAAAACTTTTTAACGACCTCCGACGAGTGAGCCATGAACGTTGTTGATGGTTTCAGAGATTGATCCAAGGACATTGAGGCCATGACCAGCGAGTTGTTCTTGAAGTTGTTCAAAGTGTGGTTTTGAAGCATCAAGAATTTGTGATCCGAGAGTTTGAAGATTACTGAGAGCACCAGTAAGAGCACTTTGGGCACCAGCAACAGCGGTGGCAATGGTTGATGAGATTGCTACAAAAAGCAAACAAACATTTACAATCAATATCATCTTTCTTTTCAACAATAGCAATCGACTCACAGCTGAGGATATCATCAATACCACGTGATCCGAATCCACCGAGAATACCAGCTAAACCTTGATTGAGGAATTGTTGAGTGATTCCATTGACTTGAGTTTGGATTTCAGCGAATAAGTTGTCGAAGATGGCACTAAGATCGACACGAGCACCACCTACACAAATCATACATTTAAAATGACCGCGAGAGAGCAAAACGAAAATAAGTACATACCAAAAATGCCTGAGAGGCTTCCAAGAACTTGACTAAGAGCTTGGCTGGTGAATTGGTCGAGGATGGGTTTGAATTGGCTGACAATGTCATTGAAGAGGTCAAATCGTCCACCAATAGCAGCTGAGATTTGGCTGACAGCTCCTTGAAGTGAAGCAAGGACGGTGCTTTCGAGTTGACTGAAGATGCCTTGAGCGATGCTTTCAACTTGAGCAAGGATGGTATCGATGCTTTGAGCTTGAGCAAGGATGGTGTCGATACTTTGAACGCGAGCACGAGCGGCCATTGAGCCAGCGATACAAGCGAAGAAGATGATGGCAAGAACAGCTTTCATTGTCGTTGATTTGGTTTTCGAAGAGTGAATTGAAATATGATGAGTTTGAATGAAGGAATAAGAAATCTACTGGAGTTTATATACCAGTTCTACCCTTATGAGCATGTTTTTTGTGTTGATTTAAGGTCTATCTATTATGAGAATCATATCATTTGTCAGTTTTGATAAGAAAACTGTTTTTGTTCATGACTTAGCAGTAGTTTCTTTTTTGGTATTCGTTAGCACCTACACATATTTTTAGGTACTCAGCTAGGTACTACGCGTTACTAGCGATATTAGATTATTGTCTTTGTTGAGAATAATAACGTATGGCTGTAGATTTATTTTTTGATCGTGTTAAGAATAGGCGATAATGCAATACTATATTTACTAACACGTTTCTTATTTTATTTTTTCACAATACTGTAGGCGTTAAAAGTCTGGTAGTACTTTTTGTCTGAGTCGTGTATTCGAATTACAGAATATTAATCTCCTTATCTATATGTCCATCTAGTTGTGGTCTAGTGCCATATGCATGTATCTGTTTAATACGAAAAAGTCCACATGATGCGTTCCAATGATTACCTGGAAATTGTATGAACCGAGTCACCAGAATGAATTTCCGGAAATTGAACTCGATCATTGAGCAGGCCCGATTCTCATATCAAACAAAAAAAAGATATGAGACTCCGTGAATATATATAGAATTTTAATTTTCTCAGTTCTCGTCAAGAATGTTCGAGCATGAAATATTTATTTCTCATTTTCCACAATATCAGTATTCAAATAAAAAAATGTGGTTTCGATTTCTTCATCCGGCAGCTCTAAAATCTGAGCATTATCAGAGTTTTCTTTGTTAAAAGTAACAGAATTTCTTTTCTCGTCGAATTTTGAGATGAAGTAACTGTGTTGAATAATGCATACAGTCGTACCACAAAGTTCTTCTGGAGAGACTGATATCCATATGAAATTCTTTCTTTTTCTTCCAATATAAACCTTTGTATGTATCCAAAAGGAATTCATTAACACCTGGTACCAATATCAATACTGAAGATTCTTTCTTACGTGATGAAGACGAAGTAATGGTGGTGATGTCGGTTCATTACATTTACTGGTGCATTCAGTTATTGTCGATTGTGTATGACCTGGTTTGATATCATCTAACGTAAGATATCAAATAACAATGTATCTACCAAAGATCCAAGAAATCTATTGTATTAGTATTTACGCTCCTTTTGACATGAAGACTGACTGTATGTTTTGTCGATATACAACACGCCGTTGATACCATATGTTTGGTTTTACTTTGACGATTGGTTATCGCCACTAACTGCCAAGTCATTATCTTCACCTAAAAAAGAAAACATTTCGAGATTCTTTCAAAAATTATTTAACGATGAACTTTATGAGATTTATAGACAGCTCTGTGATCATCTGTCATTCTCACTTTCTCAATCGTTCCTTTTTTCGTCATCATCTTTAACGATGAATTTTCTCGGAGACAGCGATAAAAAATTTGTCATTCTAATCAAAATTGATTCTTTAGAACGAGATTTTATAAGTACTTAGGGCTATCCAAAAGTAGTGTCGTCAAGGTTTCATTTTCTTATAGTAAGCAAAAAAAATTTCTTCTTTTTATGAATAAATAGAGCGTCTTTCGCTCTATCTTTCCGTGCTATTTGATCGATATTCATTCAATATTAGAATAGAAAAAAACTGACATGAACTGTTCTTGTCACAAGCTGGCTGGTTGTAATGCATTATTTTATCATTCTTACATGCTTTTTTTTCGTTCTCTCTTGGTTTTTCTCATACTTTTTCACTCGTACTACCATGTGACTAGTTGCCTATGTATACATAAATGGTCAGAGGTATATGGTGTCTTATCTTGTTTGTAGACATGTATAGTATACTGTAATACTTTTGAAAAACTGAAGACAAATAAGCTGGAATTGAATATTAATTGTGTCTATTCATTTTAGATGAGTAAAGAAAACTTTCGTTTCTAGATTAAAACGCGGGCCGAACTTAACATTCCACCGAGCGTTATTCATGATGAATTATCTTCTGCTTATGATGATCAAGCTCCTTCTCTAAGAACAGTTCAAAGATGGTGTAAATCGTTTCGTGAAGGACGAGAAGAAATTGAAGATGAAATTAGATCTGGACGACCAATTACTGAAACTACAGACGAAAATATAGAGGAAGTCCGACTTTTAATCGATGATGATCCTTATATTACCATTGAAGAAGTGCAGGAGGAAACGGATTTAACTTACGGGACTGTGCAGCGAATCATTTCAGAGCATTTAAAACTTAGAAAACTGACCGCACGTTATGTACCCAAAGATCTGAATGACTTTCAACGGGCAGAACGAGTTCGAATATGCAAAGAAAATTTAGCAAAATTCCAAAAAGGAACTTGGCGTTTATGTGATGTAATAACCGGTGATGAGTCATGGTTTTATCATCAACAGCTTCGTCGAAAGTCATCAAACGCTGCCTGGGTGGCAAGAGGAGATCCCCCACCAACTGTGACTCGACGTAGAAAGTTTGCTCCAAAAACATTATTCTCCATTTTCTTTAAGTCAAATGGTCCTGTTCTTATTCATCACATCCCAAAGGGACAAACAGTTAATCGTCATTATTATATGAACAATTGTTTGCAACCTCTCGTCGATGAAATGAAATGTCAAAGACCACTTTGTGGTACGCGTGGTATCATCATTCATCATGACAACGGAAGCCCGCATGTTCATACAGATGTGATTAATTATCTTGAATCTCAAGGTATCATCATAATGCCACATCCACCCTATTCACTGGATTTAGCACCATGTGATTTTTGGTTATTTGACTTGATCAAGGAAAATCTGAACGATCAAAACAATTCAGAAGCATTACATAGTGCTGTAACCGAATTTATGAATTCCTTGAGTAAGGAAGAATATAAAAAAAACTTTCGATAAATGGATTGAAAGAATGCAGTTATGCGTGAATAATGAAGGTGATTATTTTGAACATTTGATGAAATAAACATGAGCTGGATTTGATTCTCTTTTCTTTGATTCTGCATCTCTATCACATTTCGCACACTGGGATATCTGCACGGCTAATCACAAGTAACGCGGCCTAGTGGCCGCTAAACCCTCTACTGAAAGGATAGTATTAGAGCGCCACTATTCGTCCAAAGAGAGAAAAAAGTTATTTCAGTTGAACGATCTGATAGTTTGATAATTTGTCAGCATGTCTTACGTAGACCAATTTCGCTTCCTGAAATCTTCTGAAATTATAACGCCTAGTCGTTTGCCGACCTCTCTCCGATCGACCACTCACCGCTAGCCGTCGGTACCTAATAAGTGTTTAATGGTATTTTCATATTAAAAAGTACCTCGTTCTTGTTGAGTCCGTCTCTAGCAAAGTTACCGAAATTCTTCGCAACTTCATGACCTACAGTATATCTTTTAATATCATTTTTAGTTGAATATGTCGATGATCTACATAGTTTTTTCTTGAAGCTCGAAAAGATGTAATATATATATACCTTAGGAAAATGATGGCCACTTTGCGACAGTCTTATAAATCTCACTTTTCAACTAATTTTCAAAAGAAATATCTAGTCGTTCGTCGGCCTCCCTTCGGTCGGCCACTCACGGCTAGCTGTTCCCATGCGTACTCATTTTACTATCTTAACTTCATTTGGACGAAGACGCGTTTCGAAAATGAGCTCTTTTGGGAAAATCAATTCATAATCAAAAACTTAGAAAATTTACATAGCTATATGATTCTCTGGAAAAGTTTTCAATCTTCACTCCACCGCGAGGAACCTTAAATAGCTGCCAGCTATGTTCGTGGAAAGCGACGATTAATTTCTGACCAAGAAATCTTAAACCTCTGTAGAAATCACAAAATTTGTCCTTGAAAATATTATTCTCCAAATCGACAACTAGTCGCTCGTCAGCCTCCGTCCGGTCGGCCATTCGTGGCTAGCAGTTCCATGTACATTTTTACTCTTTCATTTAGTCTAGAGTAACTTTTGAAACTAATTCATTCATTCTCTTATATTCCCTCTTTAAAAGTCACCCTCTTTGTACTACTGTGACTCTCGAAGACAACACTTGACAAGCGAAACATAATCTTGAATGACTGGCATCAGATGATATTTGTATAGTATAGCTGGTTATAAAAGTGTATGATCGCATTAATATGGTGATGACTATGGAGATCCAGCGATCGGACGTCAGTCAGCTATTACATTTTGTTGTACTTATTGCCACTTAAAACATTATCGTCTAAAAAATTGATCCTTTGTCGCAAAAACACGGGCCAGAAAATGTTTATGAAAAAACTAACACCGGATTCGAGATCCTTGACCTCGATTACCCTTCGGTCAACCCTTACTCGACAACAAAAAAAATTTTCACTGCTTAATTAGCTAATTAGCTAATGAGGTAATTAGAATTTCGAGAAACTAACACCGGATTCGAGATCCTTGACCTCGATTATCCTTCGGTCAACCCTTACTCGACAACAAAAAAAATTTTCACTGCTTAATTAGCTAATTAGCTAATGAGGTAATTAGAATTTCGAGAAACTAACACCGGATTCGAGATCCTCGACCTCGATTACCCTTCGGTCAACCCTTAGGCGTCAGCAATATAGATTGTTATTTCATCACTGTAAAGTGCGTGAACGGACGGACGAACGGACAAACGGACAAACGAACGAACTTTAGCTCAAATTCTGCGTATACCCTCCTTTCAGTAGAGGGAACATGGTAGTACGAGTGAAAAAGTATGAGAAAAACCAAGAGAGAACGAAAAAAAAGCATGTAAGAATGATAAAATAATGCATTACAACCAGCCAGCTTGTGACAAGAACAGTTCATGTCAGTTTTTTTCTATTCTAATATTGAATGAATATCGATCAAATAGCACGGAAAGATAGAGCGAAAGACGCTCTATTTATTCATAAAAAGAAGAAATTTTTTTTGCTTACTATAAGAAAATGAAACCTTGACGACACTACTTTTGGATAGCCCTAAGTATTTGCTCTACATCTCAGGTCGAACAATCCGTTCTGGATCCGATGGGAACCTACCATAAACGGCAGCCGGATACGATCCCAGAATTTTTCTGCCGGATTCTGAGCATTTTCCGAGCGTTTCCAACCGGAAAATAATAGATTTCCTGCGGGTTTTCGTTAGATATTACTGGAATGCTGTTCCGTAATCACCGTCCTGGGATTGGATCATTTCTGTATAGCATGTCATCTATCAAACATAATTCAAAATCAACACTCATAATGCATTAAAAATTCTTTGCAATCTCCGGTGTATACCATCATAGAAATAGACATTGCATTGTGAGTCTTCATCATTGTACGAAAGACCCATCGCCTTATATCACACTTTCTTTATGTTCCATAGTCAATAAGAGGGAATGCTTCATTTGGATCCAAATATTAAGGTACAAGAAAACTATGAATTTAACTATCATTTGAAACAGAGGTTGGACCAGTAGAAGTACATCAAGTACCAGTACATTCACTTTTTACTCGGCGTGTATACTTGAGTACATTTTACTTAGTACTTGTACTAAAGTACGAAAATACTCAGTATTTTCGTACTCCTATCAATGTAGCCATTGGTAAATATTTAATTATTAAATGCAATCTGCCGCTGAACCTGGTGGAAAATCAAGGCTTTCGTAATTTTATGAAAGAGTGTAATTTAAAATGGGATCCCATATCAACAAAATGATTAAAACAAAATGTTATTCATACATTCTCGTCCAAGGTTGATGCAATCATTCATCAAACATTGAGGGGTGTTGATCATGTAACATTAACCGTGGATGGTTGCTCCGACAGGAGGTGTCGATCATTTTTGGGGGTGACATGTCATTTTATTGACAACAAAATGCAGCCACGATCCCATTTAATCGATTTTGTTCGATTGAAATCACCACACACGGGTGAAAACATTCAGCAATTGACTGAATGTATTCTCGATCGATTTAATATAAAAGAAAAATTTTATCGTATTGTCACAGACAACGCATCGTCAATGATAAAAGCATATCAATTTGGTTTGTCCGTTGAAGACGATGCTGATGATTCGGACATTAGTCTTCTTGATGATGATTCAGATGAACTGTCAATTAACACAAACACATTTTTACAAGTTGCTGATGGTGAGTAAATTGTGAACATTTAAAAAACAGCCATGGTTGCTTTTCTTATCAAATAATGCATAAAGTATTCATTCAATTTTTGTTTTTTTCCTTTTAGAAGATAATGATTCAACACAATACACAAAGTTTTGATGGTGATGATCAAAATGATTTAGCATTGCGTTTATCATGCTTTGCACACACTTTACAGTTATCTATAAGAGATGGACTAAAAAGACTTCTCATGTGCCCAAGGTACTTGCTAAATATCAAGCATTGGCTAAATTTTCACACAAACCAACAAAAATTGCTGACATGCTTAATCAATTGAACAAACACATTAATAAATCAAACGTTACCAGATGGAATACCGAATATTTATTGATTAAATCGATTTTATCTCTTGGTAAAAACGATGCTGATAGCATAACGCCTTTAATGGACAATCCACTGAAGTTTTCAAATAATGATTTTATTGTATTAGAAGAAATAGTTATCATCCTCGATCCATTTTATTTTATGAGATATCGATAAAATGCCAAGTAGAAACTGCCGTTACTCCAAGTTTAGTTGTACCTTCTGTTGTGCATTTGATAACTCACCTCCGTGATATAAAAAGTGAAGTTAAATTTTTTGGCCGACTAGTGCAACAGTTACAATCATCTCTTGAAAAGCGATTCTGTGGTATAATGCAACGATTAAATCAAGCTGATGCTATCAATGATGAAAACTATGGTGATCCATTGTACTTCATGGCCGCAGTGCTCGATTCTGCATTCAAATTCTTCTGGATTCGTGATTTACAATTGTCCGTTCAAATGGAAAATCGATTAAAACAACATATTATTCAATTAATTATTGATGAAATGAATAAAGAATCAATTGTATCATCAGGACATTTTAATAGAATCAGTCCTGCAAGAACATCAACATGTTCTGCGTCAACACCTAAAGCCAAGCGCCGCAAATTGTTTGATTACGATAATGTTAATGATGCTGATTTAAATGAACCGAATACACTTGATCCTGTAGTTGAATTGGATGCTTATTTGAACGATCCTGTACGACTACCATTTTCGGATTATTGGCATCGTTCGCAATTAAGTATTTTGAAACGGTTAATTGCTCGTATATTTTCGGTGCAAGCGTCATCCGCTCCCATCGAGTGCGTATTTTCTCATGCCGGACTTATACTGACAGCTAACGGAACAAATCTGAATGAACAGATGCTACGTGATCTTGTTTTTTTACGTGTTAATCAAAGTTTATTATGAATAACTTGTATTCTGTTGAAGATCTTCATCAATTTTTCCTTCATTTCTAATTGATAATTTTCTGTTCGTATTATCTCGTTGATCTGTTAATCTTATCCTTTCGCGAGTGATGATGCTCTTAAAAAGTAAAATGTTATACAGTTCTTCGTCAAAATCTAGTTTCATTCTCTTTATTCGGTTTTCGTGAAATTTGGTTTAGAATCATCTTGTGAACATCTATGAAGAATACAAGATGTTCTCAAAGCAGAACAATACAATATTTAACGTTACATTCTTTTCTAATACTATACAAATGTACAGAATGTAGTATTAGAACCTTGAATGTTGTCCAAAAATGTTGGTCGAGGCATCTCAGAATGATAAATTTTACAATCTAAGTCATTAACAGAGTTTCTCTTCAGCCATCTTTTGTATCGTTGCTTTCATGGAGGTAAATGTACTGTAGTACTGGTACTGAGTATAAATATACTCAGTATATTGTACTTAAGTACCAGCACAAAGTACACATGGTAATTCCAGAGTACATGTCCTGGTATTACCAGAAGTGTACTGTGTACTCGTCGTTTCCAAGTAAAAAGTACGGAAAATACCAAGTATTGTACTCAGTCTCTGATTTGAAAATATTTTCGTGTACCATTTCATACATTATCATGCGTGTTATCGCATAGTAATGCTCGTCGAGGCAGACTCGTTATGCCCTCGGCTGAACCACTGACTGAAAATGAAATAGTCTTATGTGCGTTTTATGCAAAAAAAGACAGAAGTATAACCTTTGAAAGAGTCCCCAGAGACTGATCTTCATTCGCCTCACAGTCTTGAAAAGAGTCAAAGGACTACTTGTGTTCCTTTTAATTATTCGATATTCCTGACTGACAATCACTGTTCACAGGAAGCAGAAGTTCGCTATAAATGACTATTATAGATTTGCACCTTTAAACATGTCCTCCTTTTTCTAAAAGAAAGATAATTTCAGTAAGACCAAATGAGACTCGGTATAGATTTCGCATTCGAACGTGTCGGATTGTTGATACTTTTGTAACTGGCTAGATTATCAGGCGCATCTCATTGTTCGTCGGCGCTCCACAGGGGCGCCACTCACAACTTGCCGCTCCAAACCTGTCCCTATCTATCATATAATTACCCGTATGCTACTAAAAAGTATCGAAAATTAATTAGCATTCCATCAGCATCTCATAGATAAAATTATCCGCGTTCGAGCATTTGAGTCTATCTCCTTAATTAAAAGGCTTAAAGGCCAGGCCTACAAAAACTTTCAATATATCGAAGGTCAGCATTTAAGATTGCTCTCCAGTATGTAACTTGTGAATGAATGTATTTTTGGATTACTAGCCTTTGGTATGCGACAGTCAACCGAGTGTTTTTACTTTTTCGTAATTAACTCTTCTATGTAGCCCTCCTCTCAGGCGCAGATGAAATGTTTTCTTCATTTCTGTCACGTCCCTGCCCCTTCACCCCTCCTCCAGCCAACCTCGAGCCTTAGAATCTCTCCCAAACGACGTTTCATGAAGTTGTGAGCATTTTCGAAAAAAATGCTTTTTCGACCTTTGACTCCGACCCTCACCTCCCCCTCGACCAAGATCTAACCTCAACACCCCTCCAAAACCATGTTTTATGAAGTTTTGAGCCTTTTCAAAAAAATGTTTCTTTGACCTTTGACCTCTGACCCCGACGCAAACATACAAACTATTTTTTTGTCGTATGACTTTCCTTTCAGTCGAGGGAATAAGTTGAATAACTTTAGTACAAACTACTTTGTTTACCAGCAACAAGAAAATGATAACTTTCTTCTAATGAAACAACAGCTCGATTCCGTGCCAGTTCGAGATAGAAGTTTGTATTCAAGCTAACAGTGACACAGTCCCAAACTGAATCGGGAGATTCATACGGCGAATGTTCCTCTTTACCTGCAGATGTGTCATGCATAACATACACGTTTTCACTCTCAATTTTCAACTGCAGTACTACCCACAAAAAAGGCTACATCTAAAGTTGAGCTCAACTTCTTTTGATGTAATCTTAGTACACCTGTTTTTGTTATTACATCCGCCTTTTCAGTAATTCTTGTTAGAGTTGCTACACATACGTGACGGCCAAAATATTGAAATTCATAATTGTGATTTCTTTCATATTCTTACGCCCTCACCCACACCCTCACACCCTCACCCTAGTGTGAATAATTTCAAATACCTCCGAATCCCTTATAAAATAAGTTAGACAGGTCATCAACATCATTTTCTCACCTTGTTATAATCTTTCCTTCAGATTCATCATAGTGTGTCCGTTTAATTACTGACTAAAATATCAAATATCTATGCTACTGGAATGTTCAACAACTAATTGGATGTGTATAGAGCGAATAGATGCGAAAACACAATGCCAACGGTCGTATGAATAACAAACTAGAAATGAATATTCACTAAAGTTTATGTTGCACTTCGATCGAATCGCCATCTTCATCAATGATAGCCGATGAAGTTCGTCAAATTTTTCTTTCTCTCGGTACATAGAACGTGTCTGTAATTTCACGAAAATAAAAAAATTGCGAAATGCGCTGGTGACACATAGATGCGTGTTAGCTTCTGTTTGCATAGGATACTGAAACAATAATAAACTTTCATTGCATCATGTTATTAAAGTAAGAAAAACCGAAGGCAAAAAAGGGACACCCGGACTTGAACCGGGAACCTCTCGATTTGCAATCGGTTGCTCTATCGTTGAGCTATATCCCCCTTGGTATTATCGCTCACTGCAGTATCTAACTAGGGTTCGTTTTTACTGGGAAACTGCATTCTTATATTAAAAGCTAAGACGAGTACTGTCAATAAGAATAGCAATTCACGACTAAATCTAATTTTTTGCAATAAAAACATACTTCTCGCAAAATGTTCAAATAATTCCAGGCTGTTATTCTTAACAATCCGGTCAACTTCGTTCGATATGAGATTATGACTGATCTATAGTTCATATGAAGATCCTTCGAAACACGACATAGCATTACAATCATAATAGACGAAACTTTTCCAAATAAAATCGGATATTTGCGAAACTTTCCTCGAAATTCTTATCTTAATGACGACGTCAATACGAAAAACGCTATTCGACAAAATAGTCTCCCGATGATTCATTTTCGCTCTTGGCACCGACTAATACCATTAGTCTCAATTGAATTTTACGGCGCCAAAACAGATGTCACATAGATTGTATATGATGGTTTCTATCGAAAGACGATATTTTTCGTTGCTCTTCACTCTGTATTTCTCGTGAACTGACGTATATATGAAAATCGATATCAGATCCACTCTGATATCATTATAGTGATATGTTTATTTATTTTCAGTCAAATGCTTAGTCTCATTAGCTCTCGCGTACGACATGTAGTTGACGAGAAAAGTCTTCCATTTTCTGTTCAGGCAAATGTTGAATTATTCGTGTCAAACGCCGAGAGGTTAATACTAAGTTGAAGAAAAAGTTCGTGCGCCGTGTTATAAGGGAGAGGATGGGATCACTCTCATAACACGACGCACGAACTTTTTCCTCAACCGAATATTAATAATTTTGATCAGAAACAGTCATAATGGCCGAAGAAGCATTTCTTGAATCTTGCTTAACAGAGTATTTTCAACAAAATTTCCACTTTCGTTTTAATCTTCACATTTCGCAGAACATAAAATTCGTTTGTCACAAGTCGTTATACGAATGATACAATGATTAGAAAGTCTGTATCTCAACGAAGAATAATCAGTAATTCCATTTTGCCCTTTTTTTCTAGAAAGAAACTTCTGTTAAGGTACAAATAGCACGTAAGAATTCTTTAGCGAGAAAGAACGATTCTTTCAAATTAACTAAAGTATCATGAATTAACGTGATGAAAATAGGAGAGAATGCGAATAGCGAACACTTTTTCTCTGGAAAAGAGAATCTTATTGATTCATTTACTCGTAAACTTTCACAAAACATGTTACCCACAATCATCGTGTTTTACTTCGCTATTCCGACAACATCATTTGGACAAAATCCCAGTCAACTGATGCTATCTCAAATGAACGATATTCAATATGACTGTTCTCTCCCATCTTGTTCTCTGCCGACCATACTTACTGCATCAAGTCTGATCAACTGTCAAATCTTTTGTTTGAAAAGTTCAGATTGTCGGACTTTGACGTTCGACCAGTTAAGCAATCAATGTCTAGTATTTTCTAATCATCCCAGTCACGATGGAAGTTTGACAACGCAAATAGGAAGTATAACAATGATTGCTATTGACCAACGAGCAGTAATCGCATGTAAGCAGAGTTTTAACTTATTTTGATCTTTGGCTAAGACAAAGAACACATATCTAATTGTTCCCTAACATTGGATAACACTCTAATAAGAGAAATGCTAATAAAAGAGTAGTGTGTTCTTCCTTGTCAAGAAAAAGAACGTTCTCCATGAATGCCTTGACATAGTTGTGTTCACTCATAATTACTTTTTTTTCAAAGATTCTTATTCTTCATTCGTTTGCTAGGTCACAGAAAACTTTTATCGAAACAAATCGATAAAAATCACTTTCGAATTGTTGTACAAGGAATCTCTTTCATTTAGCGACAGCAACGTCCTCAACATCATCGACGTCTTCAACAGCAACTACCAGCACTACTTGTGAGTAAAGATATGTTCATTTTTATTTGAGCTTCTCTATCATCACCATGATCATCGTTCTTGCCACTTTGATTGTATTAAATCGAAATGGAACTTTAATTAGTAACAGACTTTTCACTTATGTTCAGTAACTGACCCTCAATTTTTGCCATTCTGTCTAGATGCACAGAGTTTACAAAACTCAAACTAACATATATCCCGAGAGTTGTGTACAGTTCAATTTGTATATGCTTATTTATTTAGCAACAACAGCACTTTATTATGTGCCAACAAGTCTATGGAGATTTGATAACACTACTCTCGACAGTTTATCAAACTTGAATGGTGTAGGTGTCAATTCACCCGCTTTTAAAGTACCAGGTATCAATGGAAGAGCTGCATTAAGCCTCACGCGCAGCCAAAATCAATATGTGACAATATCAACGTATCAAAATTTTACCTATACCAGTTTCACGATCGAAATGTGGATCTATATCAACTCCTTGAGTGGTGGTAATACTTTTGGACTTTTTTCTCAACGTGAAAATGCAACAACTAATCACCTACTAATCTCATTCATTTGGAATAATCATTTGGCATTGAGCTTTTACAGTAATGATGTTATAGGTTCTACTACATTATCACTGTATGCTTGGTATCATGCAACTCTTGTGTATGATTATCCATCACGAACACAAGCTGTTTACTTAAATGGATACCAAGATGGTATTCATACATCAGCTGATCCATATTTAGGTACAGTCGGCGCAATAACTATTGGAATGTTTAATGATTCTACAAACGCAGTTCAAGCTTTCGATGGGTAAGAATAAAATAGCAATAAATTCGTGTCGTAATCAGTATTCTTTGATGGCATTTAGATACATTGATGAAGTCTCGCTTACGATGAGATCGAAAAATGCGACAGAAATTCTCAATGATGCCACGTTAACAACATATCATTCATTTGATAGCATCCCGTTCGTCGACTCAGGACCACTTGCTTTGGGTGTCATCGCTTCGGGTGTCAATCTAGTAACTGGTAGAGTCAATCAATCATTAAATTTCACAACAAATTCGTCGTATTATCAAGTAAGTCAATATATACAAGTGCCCATACTCAATCTTGTGTTTAGGTTAGTGGATTTGTTTTACTTGGAGTTTCGAATCAACCGTTTTCATTTGCACTCTGGACTAAACGAACAACAACAGCAGGTGGTGCAACTCTTGTTCATATGTCCACACTAATGAACGGAACAGGTTGGTGTGTTGATTGGCTTGGGTTTTCTTCTTCAGGCCAAATAGTTGCTACTGGTTGGAATTCCATGGGCTATCAAGTCGTAGGTCCCGTTTTTTCGACAAATGTTTGGACGCATGTTGTTAGCACTTATTCACCAACGAATGGCCTTCGATTATATGTGAATGGTACGCTGATGGGCACAGCAGACACACGCACTTACAATGCATCAGAACAAGTCAATATTCTGACACTGGGTAATCCACTGAAAGGTCTAAACGGAACTAGTTGTAATTCAATGGCCATCGTAACTACACCGTATATCGGATATCTGGATGAGTTTTATGTTTATTCGAGAGAATTGAGTGGTGCAGATGTTCTTGCGTTGGCTAATCCTTAAACGGCGATATTTTATTTACTCAATTGATTAAGATTAAACTCAATATAAGACTTGATAAGTCACTATTTTTGTCGTATTTTCTCAATTCATGTATGCTTCTGTGAAACAAGTTTTAAATAAACCATCAGTGTTGTCATTCGCGGCCAATCTTCAACTAATAATTGTCTTATTGGTGGAAAATCTCATTTTAATGCATTATTTCTTGAAATCAAAGTCAATGAGTAAATTATTGAATCATGTTTGAGATTTTGAAGCATATTGGGAGAAAATGATCAATTGTATCTTCATTCTCAAAGTTATTCCTATTTAGATTAGTATGTGTACTCTTATGTGTTGTTCAAATGCAGTATCGAACCAGTTTCGTCGACCACGATCTAAACCAATTCCACTAGGACTGTTATACAGTATACAAATATTTAGTCCACTGCCTGGTATTGAATGATGTTCGAGTTAAGTATTTGTGTGATTGTTGTATTTCGATTGATCCCGTTGTTTTAGGTGTTGTAGAATTTCTTGTAATTGTGATGTTTATAATGTCGGTGAGTCTCCCCATGAACAAATATCAGTATGTTTTATCTTCATCTGTTCCTTTAAGCGGTAGTTACGGTTTCGGTTAATTGTTCAAAACATATCCACGGTATCAAGTGTACATCTCTGCGCATTCATCAAACTCGTTCAAATTCTTCTCATGCGATTTTATCTATCCTGACTAATAGCTGTATAAGTTCTTCGGTTTACATCGTCTGCTTCTTCTTTTTTTATTTCAAAGCACAGTATGGATTGCTAACATAAGATCACATGTCCAGTCCAGTAACACTCTCGTACATCCACAAATATTGCTCGTCACCGTATGCGCCACGACCGAATAATGATGCCTCGAATCCTTTTTCTTTACTGCTGCCTGAATATGAACAATGAACACTTTTTTTCAGCGTTGATGTTAAATATCTCCACTTTCTGATTGCACGTGAATGGTATTGACAATTTAGTAATTAAGAGAATATTTATTGTAAACACGGAATAAAAACGACGGCCGTAACTGATAGTCACACCAATTATAGGATGGGCACAAATTGCTCTTCAACAAAGTTCACGAATGTTTCAAACTCGAGATTATGATAGTTTATCGATGTTATTACGAAACAAGTGAAGAGTAGAAGGCCTTTTACATCAAGTCAATATGAACAGTCACTTCAGATAAATCAAAATAAACGTTGTGAAACTATTGAACATCAAGATCTCACCCAGATATGTTCTTTCCGTCCATTGTCACATCACTTATCACTGTTCATGTGATTCTCATATCTCAGAGATATCATGAAAAATTAAAAGGTTAACTAGAAATCGCCCAATGCGAATAACTTGTCCTTCGCGAACCGATCAGTCGACAATACTGTTTAGATTGAGAAAGATCATGCTCAGTGTTCAGCACTTTACGATATCCTATCGAATAGATAGATGAAAGTACCCATCTATCCCAATCTAAGCTCTTACATTCCAGGAAAACTGTTATTGATTAGTTGAAATTATTAGTTAAGCATCGAGTGCTACTGCAATCAATTATATACGTAATCACTGTTGGGCACGTGTCTTGTTTAGTTGGTGATAGATTAATGCTGTATACTAAACAGATCTATGGAAAAACTAGAAAAAGAAATCTCTCTGACGCATCTTTATATTAAAAAAGTCATGGTGTTTTCCTAAAATGACGCTATGAGGAAATCACGTATTTGCCATACAGTCACATTAACCATCAATCACTTACTTCAGCTTTTACGCATTTTATCAAGAAAAAAACACTTTCTTTGTCAGCACATAATCTCGAGTTTTCTTCGCAAGACGAACTTTGTGAGCACAGCAGTTCTTCTGTTTGTATCTTCAGATTTGCTTTCAACATAGATACATAGGTGAACGCGTTTGCCGATAGCGATGACACCAATGTTTAAAATGTGGTGCTCGATCTACCTAGAATAGTCTTGCATTGTCGCCTAACATAAATGATTCTGCGCTGATGAGAACAAAAATCAATGAACAACGTTGAACAGAACTATGTATGTGTCTATCAGCGGAAAAGAAATGTGATTTTTTTTTCTGAGAATACCGCATAGACGGTTACATTGGCCTAATACGATTGACTACTGCTGAAAGAAAGGTCAACAGCGTACACAATACAGAATTTTAACAAGTAATAGAATTCACTACTTAGTTATCGTTTTCTGGTTTCGTTTAAAAGAGATGCATCGACCCATTTTGAGCACTCTGAAGTACAATTGTACAGACTTTGATATCATCTTACTCTCGCCCATACGGTATGAAAGATTAACTGTGCAGAGTAAGGAAGTTGTATTTGAACAAAGAAAAAATGCTATTTTATATATACCCTCTTCAGATTCTCAAGTGGATAGTTCTCTCAATATGAGTAAAAGAGAACAGTAATTCTTAAAGAAGCGAACGGTGTGAAAATCATTTAAAGAAGTAAATTATCATTAGTAAATTCAACTGCATGTGTTGTGTATCCACAGTCACGGACTACATTGAAATCCAAGCAGTTAATACGAGTGAGGACTTATTTTAGGGTTGAACTAATTTTAGTACTAGTTTCGTTTTCTCAAATTTACAAAAGTAGAAGATTGCATTTTGAATGAGAATGCCTATCACTAGCGGCGGCGCCAGGAATTTCTATCTGGGGGGGCTGAGCCCCCGAACTCAAATGATTTTGGAAACATGAATATTTATTCAAAGAAGAAGTTAGTTTATTTTGTTCGACAAATGCAACAACACAACTGAATTCAGCTTAATGCAGCAGTATTCTACTGTTTTTATGGTTGATCGAAAACTTATCTATCACTCGTTCAAAATCTATTTCAAAATCACGTTCTACGGCCAATACTGCTAAATCGCTCAACCGTTGATCGGTCATGGAATTGCGAAGATAGTTTTTAATGATTTTCATTTTCGAGAAGGATCTCTCGCATGTCACTTGGGAAATTGGCATGGTTATGGCATTTTTAATCATTCGTAGAGTTTGCGGAAACGCTCCTGATAATGGAATCAATTCATTCAGGAAGCTGATCACGTCTGTAATTGATTTTGATTGAAGCATAGGCTTGATGACAAGAAATTCATTTCTTAGTGCATTAGCATCGGCATCAGTATGCTGGCTAAATTCATTGATATCATTTGTATCGAGGAAATTACCGCTCTCTGGATACACCGTAGAAATACTTTTCATAAGTGACAGCGTCTGCGACGAAAACCTATCATTCAATTCAACTAACATACAGTCAATCAATGGAAAATAAATTCGATTCATGAAGTCTGTGGATGACGATAAGACTTCGCGCTGTCCGAGCGTTGAGTCGATAACAAACGCTTCAAACCTGGCTGGTACTGCTGTCACTCGGCGAGATCGATACTGCTGGAGCAAGTCAACGTTGTTCGCGTCACAAAAGTCTTTTGCTTTTGCATAAATTTCTCCAAAGGATTGTTCATTGCGAAGATCTTCAATTTGTTTTATAATCGACTTGATCAAATGCTCGCCACGAACATAATCAACAGAAGAACCTAGGTTTGAAGGTGATATTAACGCTTACAGTCATATTCGTAGAAAAGTCATCTTACTTTTCAAATGATCACTCAAGACTTTGATTAAACCGAACAATCGATGAAGAATGAATGAAGTAATGATAAAGATTGACCTTTTCACATGAACTAACAACCCACCCGCGTTGATCGATCTCGCACCACTACTTTCTTCGCTAACATCATCAAGTGCTCTGAGAATTGCCGGAAAATTGTCAATCATAGAATCAATAGCTTGCCAGCGAGAATCCCATCTTGTCCAGGCCCATAACTTAAGTGTCGACGATTGAACTACAATGAAGAGAAGCAAGAAATAGTTTGTTGAAACAGGAATACCAGTAAATTAATTACTTAATCCTAATTCCTTTTGCGCCTTCTTAAAGTATGCATTAGTCACACCAGATTCGGTGAAGAATGAGTAGATGTTAACAACGATCGAAAAGTAATCCAACATGTAATAAACTGCCTTGCAGGTGTCACTAATAACTAAATTAAGTCGATGAGCCGAGCAGTGAACATACACGGCCTTTGGCATAAATTTTCTCAGATGCACATGAACCCCAGCATGACAACCTGACGTCACCGATGCACTGTGAATGGGAAAAAAAAGACGTGTGTGTGAGCATTTTCTACATTTGCAGACGGTAAAAACTGTAACAGTCTTACCCGTCGAAGCAAAGACAGATACACGACTGCAAAGGAATATTCAATTGTTTCAAAAATTCAACAATATTTTGTGCCAGTGTTGCGGCGTCAAATGCTTCCAATGGAACGAAACCAAGAAAATATTCTTTCACTACGTCTGTGCTGCTCGCCATGCGATCATTCAAATCACGAACGAAACGAATTACAATGGATAGTTGCTGGTGACCGCTTATGTCGCGGCACTCATCAGCCATTAATGCATACATACAGCCATTCACCTGAAAAGAGAAAATAGTGACTTAATTATGGTGAGAAAACCAGGACAACTGTCTAACCATTGACGAAACTTTTTCGCGAATTTGATTACCCATGATGTGGATCAGTTCATTTTGAATATCATGACTCAAGTAAGTAGCATTGCTTGTGGAATCTTCAAAAATTGATTGGACAATTGGATCAGTTTTCGCCGCCCAATGAAGAATCTCCAAGAAATTACCCCGATTGGAACTCCTAAAAAATAAAACAAGATTCTCGATAGCCATCGTGATAAAGAACAGTTCTTATAGTAAAAACCGCCAGATTTCTTTCTTCAGCTACGGCAAAATAATGCTGGTCGTGATTTCATACGTTCACTTGTGTTAAGGATTGCGAAAAAACTAATTGCAAGTCAGCTAGACGTACCGCTCGTTCTCGACGTGTCCTCTCAGACCAATCATTTGACGCGATAAGACCAGTAGAGTTGAGCAAATCTTGGTGAGACGATCGCGATTTTTTCGAATTCGAATCGTGCGACCAGAATCTAACTTCTGAACAATATTGGAACAAGTTTCTTCTCGTTGTTTATACGATAGATAGTTTTTTGTTGCAGTTAAATGAGATGAAGATGATGCATGTTTGATTAAGCCAGCACGATTGTCCAGCGCTTTCTTCCAATTATTAAAACCAGATGTTGAAAAAGCATCACGTACAGCTAATTTATTCCAAGAAAAATGTCGACAATAGTAACAGAAACATGAATTATTTTCAACAGAATATTCCAGCCATTGTCTATCAGTATACCAAGCAGATTGAAAGGATCGTTTTTGTTGATTAACTGGATAAGTCCCTAGTTTTGGTTGAGCCGGAGGATCGAACGATGATTTACTAATATCATTTGGAATAGATGTTGCTTCGAAGCTCTCGTTTAAACCAACGGAGTTGGCGAGAGACGAAGACGACGTGTCAGAAATAGAATCAGAAGTTGTTTGATCTTCGGAACATGAAACAGCGGTGGCAGTTGTAGGCTGTTGAAATTCGGGTATCGACAGTGAGGAAGGGATAACTATAGTTGAATCTGTTTGTTGTTCATCAGTGCGCGATTTTTTATGCGAAGAAATGAAGTAGGACTCAATAGTCTGGCGCTTCTCGGAATTCATCTTTAAATTTCTAGCGAGTTTTTCATGAAGGAAAAAGAAAATACAGTGACTTCAACTGGAGTGGATTATTTAAGCAGCCAATGGAAAAGCCTGATAAAACTGTTCTGTCTGAAACTGCCCTGACTCGACACAATTCTTCCGTATAATAATCAACAATTGCTATAAAACTTTTCTCAAAAGTTTTTAAGAGCTCAAAAAAATTCTGGGGGGGCCCAGATAGAATTTGGTGGGGCGCAGCCCCCCCCCCCCCCCCCCCCCCCCCCCCCCCCCAAAACAAAAATTTTTTTTAAACAACCAAAC